GAGGAAGGTAGTGAAGTCAGCACGGCGTCGCCGGTGAAAACACCCATTGCACTTGACAATTGGGAGACTTCGAGAAGGCCTCCACCTCATTATTATCTCCTTCAACACTGAATTGCTCGTGCGTCTCAGCGTCTGTATCTGTAGCAACTCCGGCTATGTGGGCCGGCCAGGTTATTACGGGCTATTTTTCGTGTAGCGCAATTAATCAAGGGTGTGATTTTTTTGAATGTTTTATTATTTTATTGGATTATTCTTAGATAATTTTTAGATATTTAATATTTTTTATAGATATTTAATATTTTTTATTGTTCATAAATTGAGAAAAATTAAAATACTTCAAACTTAAAAGTCATGATCAACTTGGGTAATTGTATGATGGAAAGTTTCAGACAATTGGTGGGAGGTTACATTTATAAAATAAATTTTAATTTGATATAAAAAAATAATAACTGATTTTTATGTGATAGAAGAAAAGTAAAAATAATGATTAGTAATTATATTGCATACACAAGTACATAAATAGTTAATTATATGGGAAATATGTACTAATAGTTTTATTTCATTTACAATTGTGTTGTGAATATTGTGGATGAATAAATGATCTTGGATATATAACCAATTACACCATAATCTATTACATATGGCCTTGATACTTACAATTCCCTCTTTATAAGTATTTATACCATTTTTAATTAATAAAATGGTTAAAAAACTTATCATCCGAACTATTACGGTTTTTGCTTTTCTCCATATAAACTTTTTTTTTGACAAACAACCATACGAACTCCATGTTTTTTTTTAAACTGGATTATTTATGATGTTTTAGCAATCACATATATTTCTCAAAAGAAATAAAAAATAAATATTTAAAGAAAATTATGTCCCGAGGAACGTGCAACAAGTAAAATTTCGAAATATCATCGGAAGTCATTCACCCCACAAAACAACTAGTCCGTAGTTCTCCCTCAGCCGCGACAACTACCAGTGATCGGATAGGTTGCGACCATTTAGACACCGTCCTTAAAAAAATTATAGTCGTTTTCCTTGCAACAGCAGGTGCCGACGCTCAACCCTCAGTCTTTCGCGTGGCCCCTCGTCGACATTCTTGTTCAGTCCATGCAGTTGTGGTGACTTTTTATGTCCGACCAGCCAAGCTTCCTCCACATGTCGTTCGTTCATGTCAAGCGCCACTCGAACTCCGCCCTTCGTGCAACAGAAAAACCAACCGGAGTTTCACGCGTCTGCCATGTTTGCTCTTCTAGAGTTCTACCCATTCAGCACACAACCCGACCCACCCAGATGAGCTGTCGACCGATCGCCTGCAACCAGCCGTCCGAGCATCTTGTCACCGTCACCAACCAACTCTTACAGCTGGTGCCAGTCACTCTCAACCCTTGTCGCGTCTTCGTTAGCCATTTGTCCACTTGCATCAACGCTTACGAGCCTAAATGTGTCGTTGTTCGCTCATGACATTCTCTAGGATGGAGGATCGCTCATGACATTCTCTAGGATGGAGGAAGAAGGTTGTCGATTTTAGCGTCGTCGCCGACGAGCTCAGTCTATCCTAGAACGGGAAAATGCCTTGTGCTACCAAGGGCGGTGATTGGCGGCAGTGGCGGGTTCGAGTTTAGTTGCAGCATAGGAACAATAGTTGGTTGACAATGATCTGGTTCTATTTTCTTCATTTAA